CAAAACTACGAGCAAAAAAGGACATTTACTCCTTGTAGTCGAGGTTGACGACCAGACGGGTAGGGCCAGGGACGACCTTGCCACCAATACCATCGACAGCGGCCAGAGCAGCGGTGTAGGCGTCAATGACCTTGGAAAGACCGTGGGTAATGACGGAGCAGAGCTCGCCGGCGTGGTTGCAGATCTTCATACCCTGGACCTCATGGCCGGCGTTCTCGGCCTGAATGGCGGAAACGTCCCAGCCGGACCAGCCATGGTTGATTTGGCTGTCAAAGTCGAACTCACCCCAGGTGCAAGAGTATCCACCATACTGGTCCTTGGGCAGCTCGTCGCCCTTGGCGGCGCCCCAGCCACCCTGGGAGTTCTCGTCGAAGGCCACGTACTTGGTCTCACCAGCCTTGAGGTGGAGGGTCAGAGCGGAGTTACCATACCAGCCGTTAAGGCCACCATTGGGGCCGATCTTGTTCCAGAAGACGACGGTCCAGGGGTCAGTGTTGCTGCCAGTAAACTGAGCGACGTGCTTGTACTTCTTGGCGTTCTCGGGGGAAACCTCGATGATGTTGCTGCCCCAGGGCTTACCGACGTTGCCCTTGTAGAAGATACCGGAGCCGCTGGGCTCGGTCCTGCCACCGAAGCCGTCGGTGCAGTACTCGCCGTCAGTAGGGGTGTTGGTCCAGTCGGCGGAGACGCCAGACGATGAAGAGCTGTCGGACTCGGAAGAGCTGGGCTCCGAAGTAGCCGCGGCGGCGGAGGCAGCCACAGCGTTGGCAGCAGCGTTGCTGGCGGGAGTAGCCTGAGGAACGGCAGCGTCGGAGGTCTTAGCCTCACCGGACCATTCATTGATCCAAGAGACGAGAACACCGTTCATAGTAGCGTAGACAGTGTCGCCGACCTCGCGCTTCTCACCGGCATGGTGGAGGTGACGGCGCTCATGACCGTGCAAACGGGCGACCGAAGAGCCAGCGGTCAGCGCCGTGAGGAGGAGCATCGAGTTCTTGAGCTGCATTGTGAAGAAAGGATGGACGTGTGTGATTCAAGTTCGGTTTGAAAAAAGTTCGGATGAGAGTTTGATTGAAGCAAGGGTATCACGCTGTTGGAGAGAACTAGCCCAGGGAACGCAACAATAGTACGAACGTCTTATTGACAATGGAAAGAATGACTAGGAGCAAGACACGAGGTAATGCTCACTTGATAGAGAGTGAATAAGACTTGAAAGGAGTGTGATTTGCGTACCCAAAGAAGGGAGAGGAAACAGACGCTGGAGGAAGAAAAGAGAGAAAAAGGAACGAGCGAGACGAAGAGGGGACTGGGGGGTGTAATAAGAAGAGCGGCAGGGACTGAGCGAGGGTCTGTACGTACTTCCCGTTCTGCACCCGAAATCAAGTCGTTTAATGAAAAAGGGGCGATCAGGGGAAAAAGGAGCCATCCTCGCTGCTGATTGGTCGGCTAAGAGCGACGGTTCCTGAGCCTGGCAACTCTCAGCTTCAGGAGCAGCAATGACTGGCTGTGTTTATACGCTTGTATCCACATAGGACAACAGTCGAGACCCTTGGGTCCCTGGCACAGGGACGCAGATTACTGGCCCTATTTATGGTACGGTATTGTAATGAGCCCAGGTAGTAAGGTCCCGCCGTTACTCAGGTACCTGCATCGTGCATTTGATGCTCATATTTGATGGATGTAAACAGCACTCAGCTGGCCAATATATTAAATAGTGATAGATTGATTGAGGTATGGCAGCGATGCATTCTCCATCGAGATCTGATATCATTGTGGAAGATTAGATGGTTGGAATGCGGGCCACGTTCCTAGCACCTGACAGCCCATATGTGCTGGTCTATCGGTCCAATGCAGGAACAATAATGATAATGGATCTGCCCTGTTCAATAATTAAAATCGATTTAGAGAGGTACACGTCAGTCCATTCCAGCAAATTGTGGTACACTCTAGCCCTACTCCCATAACCATACCCGTAGAAACGGAAGCAATTCGTCACGTCAAAATGCGATCCACGTTTTGGTAGGCTATCGGCTTCTGACCAAATGGTGTACTAGAGAATCTCAACGCGGCTGCTGCTATCATACTGCGACTGCGGGATGCTGATTGAAGGATAGCGATTGACTCGGAGAGAAACTTCTGTCCGGTGATCTAGGCCAAGACGCTCTTTACTGCAATTCAGTTCTACTTATCCTCCGCAATGCCAAAATTGCATTGGACAGAGGCCCTTGTAGTAGACTGTTTGTTCACTCAAGAGGCACACCCTTCCATCATTACGATTGAAAACTCTACTCACTACGTGGAATAATCAATTCAGGAATGAATGAAGATTGAATTTTGAACTATGAAGACCCATCTAGCCAGCCTGCTCTTCGATCCAGTAGAGTACTCCATGGACTGCAGATCCTCATATGTGGGTCGATACAAAGCAGAAACAGCAAGTTCATCTCCATCTTTACCCACCGCTAGAATCTAGAATGGCAATTGACTGTATGCGACAAATCGACAGGGGATGTAGATGTATCCATCTCCACCGCCGTGTCCACTGTCCACTGTTGAATTGCCACATCCATCGTTGTACTGTGTAGTAGTACAACAGGGCAGCCAGGTACCCAAGTCGTTGACTTATCCAAACTCGGACGAGCAGTACAGAACAGACATCTCACTGACTTGTAATGATGGCATGCCAGCGATATATCTGCAGTGAGTCCAATGCAGGTCTATGTCAGCAGGTCCATTTTCAATTCAATACATCATGAATTTATGATTGTGCGCGCTATCCTTTCCAGCACCACAGTTGGCGAACGCCTGCCGCCGATTGGGCGCTTAGAACTATGCTACATAGTAAATAAACAGTATCCGTGGACAAACTGGCCATGGTTGACGGGCGGAACCAGAGAATTGTCTACCACGAACACAGCTGTGGCAGTCATTTCCAAAGTTGGCGTCACATGTTGTTAAGGTAGGAAATTCTGTCATAAAAGTTCAACTCTCGGCGGCGGGGCCCTTCCGGAAAACTTAGATGTAATTTCCTGTTGGAACTCGTCTCCTTGCAAGTGAGGACTCGTCATCAGGTTGATGATCGTCTGGAGCTAACATGGCGGAAAAACTGGATCGAAAAGTACAAATTGGAACGTCATGTGACCTGAAGATTGAGATTACCGAACAGGACTACTACACCGGCGGTTATGACAGCAAGCGATTAACAGCAACACTATTGACGTTTACCGATTATTGCTATGTCTACTCCTTAGCTTCCAAGTCTACTCCGCCCTGAAACGTTGCTCCTCCCGCCTCTGCATCTACCTTGAGACTCTCGTCCAAGCCACATGTGCGGAACAGCATCTGGGGGGTCAACTCCTTGCTCAAACCCGGCAAACCGTCCCTCTTGAGCTTCTCCATACCCTCACGGATAGCGGTCAGGACTGGTCCAATTGCCGCAAAGGGGAAGATGATGATACGGAACCCCATCTTCTTGGCTTCATCCGCCGAGATCGACGGTGTCGCCCCATGCTCGACCATGTTCAGCAGCATGGGCCACGGCGCCAGATCCTGAACCACCTGCCGCGCCATCTCCTTGGACGTGATCCCCTCAAGGAAGCCGACGTCTGCACCCGCATCCCGCGCCGCACGCAGCCGTGCCACACTCTCCTCGTAGCCGTGGCCTTGGAGCGCGTCGGTCCGCGCAATCACGACGATGTCGCTGCCCATGCGCTTCCGTGCCTGCACCGCCGCTCGGATGCGACTCACGTATGTCTCCTTGTCTACCAGTATCTTGCCCGCGAGATGTCCGCAGCGCTTGGTCTGCACCTGATCCTCGATGTGGAAAGCGGCGACTCCCGAGCGCGAGTATTGCTCTGTTGTGCGAGCGACCATGATCGGGCCGCCGTAACCGGTATCTGCGTCGGCGATGACGGGGGTAGAGGGCGAGATGTTGGCGAGCATCTCAGCATTGGCACGCATGTCGTTCAAGGTGCAGATACCGAGGTCGGCTTGGCCGTGGACGGAGGCCGCAGTACCGGCGCCAGTCTGCGATGGTAACGCTCAGTGACCACGACAGTACAATTGTGTGGGCTGAGCACTCACCATGTACAGTGCATCGAACCCCACAGACAAGGCAATCCGAGCGGAAAGACCATCGTAAACACCCGGTGCGACGATAAATGACTTGGGATCCTCAAGAGACCGCCGGAGAGCAGTGGCCGCTGTGACTATAGGCATGGTGAAAGACGTAGCTAGAAGATAATGTTCAGACGTTGCTTGCTGCTGCTCGATTGATAACAGGCTATCAATAAAGCTTAGCAAACTTGAGAGTGCGAGGCGTAGCGGTAGATAGAATCTAGGGGCGTCGGCTCAAAGGGATGTCGCACCGGATTAACACACGGTATCACCAACACGCAATACAAGAAAGGCACCGATTATGTCTCCGAGACAATTACTCGATTCTTTCCTCCCGCCGGCTTCTATTTATCTGTAATTTGCTCTGAAGCATGGGCTTGCCACTGATCCGAGATCGGGAGTCGATTAATAAGCTCTCGGGATTCTCTCGGGAAATTGCATTTGTGTAGAGAACCCCATCTTGTGAGGAGAAATGGATTCATTCAATGGCTTAGGGCTTTTTCAGTAGGTAATTCGGGGGATTCTATCTGGATATTTCGTCAGAAACCACATGCATAATTTCAAGCATGTTTTAGGTCGTGAGTAGTTAGTGCAGCTGCTTATAATATGCTCTGTCGATGTTTGATAAGATGTGAGAGGCCGCCACCCGTTCTTCTGCCTCTTCAAGTCTCAACCTTCCACCACTAGTACCTCTTAGTCTTCTTCAATTCTCCACATTCTTCGACGATTCAATCCTTCGCATTCAACCTCTCCACCTCTTCATCTTTAATCTGGTCTCTCACAGCATGTCTTAGATGTATATGATTTATTTATGACACTAACCCCTTCTCCTCCTTTTATCTTTTCCTTTTCTTCTCCTAATACTTTCCTGCCGTTCCGACCTCATGGCGCGCTCCGCCATCGTCCAAGAATACAATCCTCCGCCTACCTCGATTCCTACCCTGAGCGTCGATCAAAAAGTCTCCCTTGAGCGACAGACGAATGGCATCCCTCGTCCTCAAGGCTACCGAGTCTCATGGCACGCCAATCCGGCCGTGGAACCGCACCACTTTGGCCAGTCGCATCCCATGAAGCCCTGGCGACTGACCCTCACGAAGCAGCTCGTCATGGCTTACGGGATGCACCACGCCATGGACCTCTATCTGGCCCGCGCTGCGACATACGAAGAGATGGCTGAGTTTCACCAGACGGACTACCTCGATTTCTTGAGGCAAGTGATGCCCGGGGACATGGAGAATCCAGAGCAAAGCGAAAACATTGCGCGATTCAATTTCGGCGACGACTGTCCCATCTTCAACGGGCTGTACAACTACTGCTCGCTCTACGCCGGCGGTAGCATCGACGCCGCGCGCAAACTGTGCAACAACCAGTCCGAGATCGCGGTGAACTGGTCGGGCGGCCTGCACCACGCCAAAAAGGCCGAAGCCAGCGGCTTCTGCTATGTCAACGACATCGTCCTCGGCATCCTGCAGCTGCTCCGCCATCACCCACGCGTCATGTACATCGACATCGATGTGCACCACGGCGACGGCGTCGAGCAGGCCTTCTGGTCCACCGACCGCGTCCTCACCGTCTCCTTCCACAAATACGACAAGGATAACTTCTTCCCCGGCACGGGACCCCTCGACAGCACCGGCCCAACCCACCCGCTCAACCCCGGCGCGCACCACGCCGTCAACGTCCCCCTCAACGACGGCATCGACGACGAATCCTACATCCAGCTCTTCCGCGACATTGTCGGCGCCTGCGTAGACACCTACCGCCCCGGCGCCATCGTCCTCCAATGCGGCGCCGACTCCCTCGGCTGCGACCGCCTCGGCTGCTTCAACCTCAACGTCGGAGCCCACGGCGCCTGCGTCGCCTTCGTCAAGACCTTCGGCCTGCCTCTCCTCGTCGTCGGCGGCGGCGGCTACACCCCGCGCAACGTCTCCCGCGCCTGGGCCCACGAAACCTCCATCCTCATCGATGCCCAGGACCGTATCGACCCCAACATCCCCGACACCGTCGCCTTCCGCAACCACTTCGGCCCGGACTTCTCGCTCTTCCCCCCTCTGTCGGAAATGCGCAAGCTCGAGAACAAGAACTCCCGCCCGTACCTCGCCGGTCTCGTCCAAGCCATCCGTGAGCAGCTCCGCTATATCCAGGGGGCCCCCAGTGTCCAGATGAGCTTCATCCCCCCGGATATCCTGGGTCTGCGCGAGGACACAGAGAAGGAGATCGAGGAGACGACGGCCCAGCTGGAGGAGGAGCGCGAGGAGCGCGAAGGGCCCGGTAGTGCGGCTGTCAAGAGCAATCGACGGCGGGAGTTGGAGAGGGGTGCAGGATATCGAGGGGAGCTCTATTCTTGATTGTCTTGCGTTTCATTTTCTCCCCCTGGCGTTTTGTATTTTATGACCTGACTTTGGGTGGTCTACTCATTTGGAGGGGTGGTGCTTTGGCGTTTGGCTCAAATCTCGTTGCTCGATCTATGATATCCCAGAAGAGATTTGTTTTGCATGTTCAATTCTTTTTGGTTATCAGTTCTCGGCCGGTGGGGGGAAAAAAAGCAGGTCAGAAGGATCAAATCTATTTATTATAGAATTAAGATACTCCCCAGCCTAACCTCCCATCCTTCTATCAATCCCAGGATTCCAATATAGCCACGTATATGAAACATTATTCACCTGAACCTTCCATAGCCCCAGTCCGCTCGCGCATCAGATCTCCAAGCGTCCCTCGCGCCTTTTTATCGCCTTCCCTCCCCTCTCAAAATCAAATCGGGTATCCAGGGCGGGCGACGCATTCGATGAACAAAATAGCACAAAAAAGATAATTGAAAACGAAATGATGTGTTGAAGTCAGAACGATCCCGTCGGCTGCGTTAGTAGAATGAGGCGAGGGTCATGTCACGTTCGTTTAGCCGCTTCTTCTTGGCAGGTTGACTACCATGTCATGGCTTCTGCACCTGCTTCCTGTCCCTTTGAAGCACGATTGAGATCACTCTCAAGTCGACGTTGCTCGAACGGACTAGACGTCCGGACGACTGGCGGGACGTCGCCCGAAATAGGATGACGGAAGAGAAGCGTCGATATGCAGCAAGATCAGATAGTTGAGGGTAGCATCACGCTTATTGTTCCTCCGCGTCCACATATTCATCGACTTCGGAGGTCCGAGAATCCTTGCGTTCTACAGAGTTTTTGCCCTCGCTCGAAGGCTGGGGAGCTTCTGAGGCTCCGGAGCCAGTGCCACTACCAGTGTTCTTTACATCAACAGGGTCAGATGCGGAGGGAGCGGTTTGCTCCTCTTTCTTTGGTACGTGGGGTGGAATCTGGAATTGGCTGTTGTCTTTCTGGCCATCCAGGATGGGCGCGATGGCTAGGATTTGTTTGGCGGCGAGTTCGGGGTTCTGAGAGTCACTGTAGGTCGTGGTCAACTGCCTATCGAAACATAAAAGAAGGCGCCCGTCACACTTACACATGCGCGCTGATGATCCAATCCAAGTCCTCCTCACCCTCATCGGGACCTCCGGGGCCCCCGTGAACAGGGCGGAAGAGCCTCGGATGCCATTCCACTCCTTCATCGGCCCGCTTAGCGGCCTCTTCACGTTGACGGTCTTCAATCTTCGACTTTTCCTCCGTTGCTGCCTCGTGGTTGCGGGCAAGGAGCGCCTTGACTGTGCTGTGCCACAACCGCTGCGATTCCCGCTCGCCCTGCTGTTCGATCGGCCGGGTATTGGGTGGTGTATGTTTTGCGTGTGTTGCGTCGAACAGGACATCCTTCTTGTGAGTCTATAAATAGTCAGTATGTGATTATTCTAGGCACACTCGGGCAGCGTACGTGAACATCCTTGATGAACATCTCTCCGTTCCAAAGTCCAGACAGCTCATAGTATACCTCGCCCGTTTTCTCATTCTTGATCGTCCCTCCGATTGCATTGTAGGTGCCGGAAAAGTATCCCTTCGTCTTGAACTCGATATCGGCCACTAGATTGTTTTCGGGACAACGGACGTAGCTGTGATCACCGAGCTCATACTTCATCTTTCCAAAGAGGATGCCACGGGCGTACATATTCGGTTGTGTCAGGATGCTGCTCATATTTTAATTAGTACCAAATCGAACAACATCTATCGCTGTAGTTCATGAAAATGGGATATGCGGCCACATACTATCGTTCGCCCTTCTCTGGGTTTTGGCCGCGGTTCAGGAAGCGTAAAATGGCGACACCCTCCATCATACTCGCCGCCGAGTTTCCTAGGAACTTGCTGCGAGGCTTCAACGTCCCGTCAATTCGGATGTGGTGTTCTGGCGCCATGAAGAAGTAGCTGGACTTCGGAGGGTGGTGCGACGTCTGTTCAGCGATGTAATACCCTCGCGTGCCATCAGGGTAATCCCAGTAACAAGTAAAGGTCTCTCCGAGAATCGGATTCAGCGGCTTCTTCACACCTCTGCAGTATCCACGTTAGAAAGGAGGTCTCATATTTGGAAACGGAAAAGTCGAGTGCACGTACGGAGGTTTAATGTGCCATCCGCTCAGGTAGAACTTGACGACGGAAACGAAGCGCTCGAGGGGGTCATCGATCGTGGGCATGGGAAGAAGGGTCTCCGGATGAGCCATGAAGCTTTCGATAGGGATCATGATTAGCCAGAGCATCACAGCGAGGTCTGAGCACACATACTTGGTGATCCGTTCCAGCATGGAGCGAGGCTCCAGAATGAAGGTAGGCAGTACGACTCGGCTCAGGTCTGCGCCCGGTCGGAGCTGGGAAATGATATGGGACAGCACTGAGCAAAGGAGTAAGCAACTATATTACAGCCGAGAATAGAGCCTCAGGGGACGAGCTCCTTGTTGCAACTGAACCTTATAAAGATTACATACCATTGCCCTGTTCAGGCTCAACGACCTCATCTTCCCCGCTTCCGCCTTCCGGCTTTGATTCATCCATGGAGGAACGAGTACCTGAAGAATGATGGAAAAAGGAGACCCAATCAGCGGACATAATAGAGTGAAATGACAGATGGCGATGTAGACAGCTAAGAGTATATAAAAGAGAAGAATAACTGGAAACAAAATTTCGTGGTAATGATAAGGTAACCAAAGTATGGACGGAAAAATTAGGCGGAGAGAATGATTAGAGGGGGGAGGGACGCAGGACGACGGGTATGACGTGTTGGAGAGAAGACAGCAACAACAATCATCTTATTACGGAGTAGATATATGACAGTTGACAGTATGTACTCGGGGAACTCTACTCACTGGATGTGGCCACAGATGAACGCCGGCGGATATGCGGAACAGTCACAGGCATTTCGTTACTGTGATATAAGAAGCAGTAGTAATAAGTAGGGTCAGATAGATGGGATAGTTATCGCGTAGGGAGAGGAGAGTAGAGACGGGAGAGAGGAGAAAGAGAAGGAGAACGAGAAAAAGAGGTCTTCTTGAAGGAAAAGTCGCTAAAGTCGCTTTGGGGAGTCTTTTTCTGATGTTTCTTTCTCTTTCCTTCTGTTAGGTAGACTGATAGATATTTATGAAACCAGTTGACAAGTCTTGTGGTTCCTTTGTGAGAGGAGGCTTGCGCAGTATCTACATCAGGATGAAGTTGGAAGAATGAGAGAAGAAACAGAAGAGGATTTTGTGTCGGATGTCTTTTTTTTTTTTTTTTTTTCCCCTTTACTTTCC